CTGTCTCCCCTCTTCCATCGGGCACCGCAGAGCTCATAGGAGATGAGACAGTTTGAAGGATCAAGGAATGAAATTCCGATCTGTCCTGCCGGCGCAGGGTTTTGTATAGTGTGCAATGTTTTAAATTAACTGCAGAAATTCTGCCTAGCAGTGAAGCATGGAGTAAAATATAGGTGATGGTTTGGTCTGGGCGTAAATAATCTCCTCACATTACAGCGTGAGTAGTTTACAGTTCGATGCTTGGAGCACGGGCATCGATCACGAGCCATAGCCACACACTGGTGTCATTTCCTGGTGCGGCTCTTCACAGGAGAGGCAGGCTGACCACGGAAAGTCTAGTTCCAGGGCTGGCAAGTGATGGCCCCGCCCGGCCCACTGCCTGTTTTATAAAGCCTGCCAACTAAAAATAGTTGTTACATTTTTAAATGGTTGGGGGAAAAGCCAAAACAAGGATAATATTTTATGACATGTGAAAATTATATGAAATTCAAATGTTAATGCCCATAAAGGAGTTTTACTGGGACGCAGCCACCCGTTTATTATGTATTCACTAGGGCTGCTTAAATTGCAGAACATTGTTATAGTCTCGAAGTGAGGCTGGTTTGCTAATCAAGAGGTAAAATTCAGAGGCCATAAAGCAAGAGACTGACAGATTTGATCTCATAAAACTGAAAACCTTCTGAATAAAGTGAAACACCATAAAGCGGTTGAAAGACACCCAGGAGGCAGACCAGGAGCAGAGCTGGCAGTGGAACCCAGGAGTCCCGCCACGTACACTGCTCCCTGGGCCAGCCTCCCCGCCTCAGTTTCATGACTGAAAACAGCAGCAAAACTCCGTGGGCCCCACTGCCCCAGGTCAAGTCAAGTGTGTCCTCCCAGGAGGGCGTGTAAGTTAGCACAGTCATTTTGGCAGTGTGGAGAGTCCTCAGAAACTAAAAACGCAGAACTACTGTGTGATCCCAGTAATCCCCCCCTTCCCCCGCAGATATCCAAAGCAATGGAAATCAGCATGCGGAAGAAATCTTTGTCCCTCCCTATTCGCTGTAGCTTCATTCACAATAGACAAGATATACAAGCAAGCTAGGTGTCCATCAGACAAAAGAAAAAAGGAAACAGTGGAATATGATTCAGTCTTAAAAAATGAGATCCTGTCCTTCCTGTCAACATAGGCAGAACTGGAGAACATCACACCAGTGGAATAAGCCAGAAAGATGAAAACTGTGCTCTCACTCATATATGGGACCTAAAACTGATCTCATAGCAACAGAGAATAGAAAGGTAGTTTCCAGAGGTGGGGGGTGGATTCCATCAAAGGGTAGAAAATTTGCCTGGTGTGGTGGTGCATGCCTGTAATCCCAGCTCTCAGGAGGCTGAGACAGCAGGATCACTGTGAGTCCGAGGCCCACCTGGGCTACATAGTGAGATCCTGTCTCTAGCAAAGTTGGGGGGGGTACAAAATTCCAGTGGACAAGAGGAATACATTTTAGTCATCTACTGCACTGCAAGACAACCATAGCTAATTATGTATAGTGCGTTTCAAAACTGATAAAAGAATAGACTTTTAACATTCTTGTCATAAGAAAATAAATTGGTGAGTTGACTGAGCCTTACTACAGTGTATACAAAGATCAAAACATCACTTTGTACCCCGTAAACATACACTATCAATATTTGTTGATTAAAGTTTTTAAAAGATGATTCTTTTTCTCCCTGAGATTGAACCTAGGACCTTTGCACAGAACTAATTCCCAGGCCTTTATTTTTTTTTATCTTGAGACAGGGTCTACTTAAGTCACTAAGTTGCCCGGAATGGGCTCAAAGTTTCGATCCTCCTGCCTCAGCCTCCTAGAGTGCTGGGATTACAGGTATGCCCCACCATCACTCGTTTAAAGACTGATATTTAAAGATTTTTTTTTTTTCTTTGAAACTAACTCCAAAAAGAAATTCACTGTGAAAGTCTCTTTGTGAAGTGTGACAGTGTGGACAGTATTTACAAGACACCAAACTCTAGCACCCCTTCTCCAGAGACCTTCACGGGCAGGGAACACTTTCGCTGTTACTGCTTCAAGACATTTCTTCCAGAAACAGATAGTGTTGCCCAGCCACTGGGACTGAGGGGATTGTTTGGCTTTATGTTGAAAGACAGCCCAAACACCCTGAATGAGGTGAAGCTGCTCCCAACTGTCTTTCCCCTGGCGTTTATAAAATGTGCTGGCTACTGAAGAAACTGAGGTTGAGAGAGTCAGGCAACTTGCCCAAGGTCACCAGGAACGGGAACCCCCACTCTTTAATTCAAACCCATGAGTTTTCCATTACTAGATTTCTCAAAGTCTGCTTCAAGGACCTCCTGCTAAAATCACAGCTCCACGAGGCTGGGGTGTAGCTTAGCAGTAGAGCGTGTGCCTGGCATGCTTGCGGCCCTGGGTTGGAGCCCCTGCACCGCCTCAAGAAAAGAAAATGCAGCTCCAAGTCCGACCACAGACCGATTGGATCAGAACCTCTGGGATGGGAGGGGCCCTCCACAGTTTACAATCAATCCTCAAGGGGAATCTCATTTGCACTGGAGTCGAGGCCTTAATACCAGCAGAGCTGTGACACGCAGAACTGTCACAACCCACGCCTTTGGCAAGTTCCGGTTCTGTGTGTTGATTTGAAAATGAATCGCTGTAAACATAAAAAACCCGAAAAGCAGCGTTGGTAGTGCCTTGGCTGCCCGCACACAAAAACACCTCTACCTGCCTGAATAGTTTAAGCTGGGGACTCCCAGGGATTTCTTTGCTGGCTTCCACCTTGCTCTGCAATCACCTGAGAAATCGTAAAAATAGTGAAGTCTGGTTCCGGCCCATAGGGGTTCAGACTTCATTGATCTGTTTGTTTGGGGTTTTTTTTTGTTTGTTTTTTGTTTTTGTGGTACTGGGGATCAAACTCAGGACCTTGCGCTTGCCAGGCAGGCTCTTGTGCCACTGAGCTACATCCCCAGCCCAGGGCTTCACTGCTTTGATGCCAAGCCTTTATCAAAGACCTCCCCAGTTGAGGCTAATACGTAGCCAAAGTAGAGAACCTCCGGCTAAAATAATGGTAAGTACACATCAAGTGTAACTTTTGTTTTCTTGTACTGTTGCTAAACTGTTACTTCCGGCAAAAGAGAACAGTTTCTAAAGCTACATTTTTCTGTGTGGCCCCAGAAAAAGCGGCACCTGGACCACCTGATGCGCAAATCCTTAGAAATGCAAATTAGCGAGCCAGACCTACCAATCAGAAACGCTAGGGGCGGGGCCAGCAAACAAATACACCACGGGTGGGACGAATTTGTGAACTAGCGCTCTGGAGAAGTCTTGCACCTGAGAATTGTGTCACTAAGCAAACTGAAAGGGGGCAGGGACGTGACTAGATGTTATCTACGCGAGAGTCTGCTCGACTCACAATCAGGCTGAGAAGGTATTTTTGTGGTCTTTGCTCCCCGGGGCTCCAAGGATAACAGGGTTTAACCCGTTTTCCTGAGTGACTGTCAGCAGGTTTTACCTGGCTTAGTGAGAGGGGCTATTTGGCTTCCTGTCACCAGGTGCTGCTGGCACGTTGGGCCTGTCTCACTAGAGCCAGACACGCTGCAACCCAAACTTTTGGGACCATTTTCATAGAGAAGGGAAGAAGGGGGAGGTTTGGGTCTTGATGTGCTTTTTTTAAAATCCCTGTTTAAAATCCCACTGTTACCTATTTGCTAATCCGAGTTGTCTCTAGCAAGGAAAACACCTGTGTTGACCCCATGCCTGAAGTGAGTTAACCATTTCCTAGCTCACAAGGCAAACCGCTCAGGCCTAACCCAGTTTATCCAACGCACCGACTATGAACGCGTGGCCCGGAGGTCCAGGTGGGTCCCATAGGCACCAGGGTTTTACCTTGTGAAGTTTTTGCAGTTAGAAGCAGACTTTTGTTCTCCCCTATTGTTATGCGGTTTAAAACTTCTACGCCGCAAAACTTTTGATTCCAGAGCCACAGTTAACCATTATTTTCTAGTCACTCGGCGCATGAGAAAGCCATTTCCCCGGAGAGAGACTGAGGGGCGAATCCAACAAGTGTGTAGCTGCTTTGAGTCTCTTGGAAGCATGCTGTTGAAACTATTCTCAAGTGTGCTAGCCTGCCAGGCTGAGCTGACTTCACGTTTTCAGCTCTAAGCCCAGGACAGAACGCTGGATAAGCAAACCATCACACCAGTGAGACTGTGCGTGCTTTGCAAAACATTTTCAAAGGCCGGGGGTGTGGCTGGGTGGCGGAGCGCCTGCCTAGCCTGGGAGGCCTGGGTTCAGTGCCCATCCCCACCAAAACACACCCGTCTGAGGTTATATGGAGCTGCAGGGTGGGAGGGCTAGGGCTTGGCATTCTGCTCCCATTACACCCAGGGAGGCAGGAACCTGCCCTGCTTCCCTTGGGCAGCCCGGCCAGTGCCCTGGCTCCCTAAACCTCCTTTATACTCAGGCAGGGAAGCGGGTAGGTGTTCCTGATGGGTCGCCACCACAGTGGGGCAGGACAGTCGGGCAGAACGGTGCCCCCGAGGTGCAGCGAGAAAGGTGTGCCCCGCGGGAGGGGAAGGAGAATCCTGCCCAAGCCGAGGTCAGAGCTGCTGAGGAAGTTCTTGCAGAAATCTCTGCATGCTCAGCTTTGTTTCCTCGCTGGAGCCCCCAAAGCCCCTCACACCCTTTCTGCCCAGGCCCTGCTGATTTTCAGGACCTGCCTCCCAACAAACGCAGAGAAATGGCCCCAGGGAAGGCTCCTCAGGTAAAATACAGGAAGCCCGCCACCAATTTGTCAGGATGACTGTATCACAACTATTTTATTGGCCATACTTTACCAGCTGCTTACTTCACTGGGCAGCCTGCATTTGCATTTGGGCCTGCCCCACCCCAGTCTGGTCTATGGTGAGTGGCAGGAGAAGGTGCAGGGCAGGTGGGGACCCGGCAGGCCCCTGGTGACGGCCGTGGCAGGAAGACAAGCCACCCACTCACCATATCGGCACCGGTATTGACAGATTCCATTCTTCCCTCCCAGCAGCTCCAGGAAGGAATCGAAGTAGCTGTTGACGGATTCGAAGCTGCCCCGCAGGTGCCGGAGGCCCCAGTCGGAATAAGATTCCTCAGCTTCCGGGCCAGGGTCGCTCTGAGCCAGGGCTCCCCCCAAGCTGAGCCACAGGGCCAAGAAGCTGGTGGCCAGCTTCATCCTGCAGACAGCTAAGTCCTCAGTGCTGTCCTCAGAGCCCAGCCAGTGTCCCAGAAGTCCAGGGACACAGCCCACCCTGCCGGATGTCAGGCGGCACCAGGAATGAGATTATCGGGAACACTCAGTCTGTGTGTTCCCCCAGAGGTGGACTTTAAACACAGCTATGGAGGCTGAGATGAGATCAGGGCAATTAGAGGGCAAAGGTGAGGCAGTGGGAGGGCCTGTCAGAGGGATGGCCCAGAGGAAAAGCTCTTCAAAGTGGAGTCCATGGCCCTAAAGGAGAAGATGTTGGCCAGCTCCTAGGAGGCAGGAGCAGGGAGCCCTGAGAAATTCTATTGTCTTTTTTTGAGACAGGGTCTCACTATGTAGTTCCAGCTGGCCTTGAACTCACTGTATAGCCCAGGCTGGCCTTGAACTTGTGGTAATCCTCCTGCCTCAGCCTCTTGAGTGCTGAGATTACAGGTGTGTGCCACCACACTCAGTTTGAGCCCTATGAATTCTGCCCCCATAGTTTGTGAAACTATTGATCAGTTACCAGTTTGGTCCCACAGGGCCAGCCACTTGACAGGAGAGCTTTCCTGAGGTTCTAGCCACACCCCTAAATCAGTCCCCTCTCTGGGGAGATGCAGGAGGGTAGGTGAAGGCTGGGGTAAGGTCCAGGGTCCCCCGACCCAGAGTCAGGATAAGGTCTGAAGGCATCTGCACTAGGTGCATGTTAGGTAGTTCAGATCAGAGCCCCAGCTTCCACTTGGCCCCTCATGGGCTCGGACTCGAATCCTCCAATCCAGCGAAGGTCTTCAATGTAGCAGTGCCAGGGCTGGGGCATTTGGGCCAATGTTTGCAGCAGCATCTGTGCAGTCAGCCTTGTCAGATCACGAGATCCTGAGAGCTGAGAACAGGGACAGTTCAGGGCACTCAGCTCTCCGGTGGCTTTTCTTTGAGTTACTTAGAAGTCTAGGAGTTGACCAGCAAGACTGAGATTGGAGGCCCTGAGACTGCTGCCTGAAATCTAGGATTTTGCTTATCATCTTATGAGGAAATAGCACCTACAAAATCAGTGGCCTGCAAAAAATGATATATTGGACCAAATGAATCATTTAGCTTCTTGCTCACGTGGCTAGAAAGCCCCATATAAAATAATAGACCAATGAATTTCCTTCATTTTAGATAAGGAATCTGTCTAAAGACTGATTCTAGGAAGGGCAGTGATTAAAACGTGTTCAGACTAAAAAAAGGAAAACTACAATGTTCACTGCCATCCTACATCTTAAAGCATTTATACTTTTTTGATCCACTCTCATATATGTATTAGACATTATATAATTAAAATAGTTCAATGAAAGTGATTTGTTTTTCTTAAGAACACCTGTTTTCCAGTAATCTTTAAAATAAAATAGAGCAACTACCAACAAATCATCACATCAGCTGGGTTCAGGCACTATTGATCCCTCACATGTCAGAAAAGGCAGGGATGAAAATCATTCAGAAAATCCAGGGTATCTTGTGATATAGAAAGTGCTCATCAATAATCATGATTGCAAAACAGATGCAATCCAGATAATGATCTTTAGCAAATCAATGAAGCTCTGTTCCTGTATTTCGTCACATGCCCTTTCCTGGCATCTTAGCAGCTTCCATGAGTTCTTCAAGGTTACAGTGATCACACAGTCGATACCGCTGGAACCCGTGTTTTGAATGTGCAAGTTTGACTCACTAATAAAGGATCATCTGCAGGTCATTGCAAGGGACCAGTGCAACTAAAACTCTACAAAAAGATATCACAGAACCATGAACCTGCCTGACTCTATAAAAACCATTGGAAATGCCAAATATCCATGCCAGTGAAACTGGCATTCCTGGAGCCACTGCTCTGCCTGCCTCTGCAATAAATACCTTGGGAGACAGAAAGACATATAGAGTATGTAGTAAAGGCGCTTACTGGCCAGAAGTATAAGACAGAAATTATGCACATAAAACAATCACAGAGCCAAGAGTAACAGTGATAATTAGTTGTTCAGTTGTTTCCCATGGTTGGGAAGTGTATATATAACCCTTGAGAAAATATGTGCACCCGTGTGATATGAGACGTTTCATATCCAGACATTGCAAAGGTAACGTTACTTCTAAAGAGTTTGTTTAAATCTCTGAGAATTTATTTAACTCCAAATGAGTCAGTTTCATTATCACCTGAGGAACTGTTGGAAGCAAATAGTCCTTAGAGGTGAACCCATAAAAAGAGGGCAGTGATACATTTTTCCGGTCCTTTGGTATAGCTGTTCTGCCCACATCATATGTAATCAGCAGGTTTCATAAGACTTGGGTCCACTTCACTCCCTTCTGCATCAAAACAGGCAAATGATATATATTTTTAGACATTGAGGCAATAGCTAAAAGTGTCAGGTAGCATATTTTCCCCAGCATATTTCCTCAGACATTATAGGAGTAATACATATGTTGAAGATGTTTGTCCTTTCAAGAATGCTGTGTTTATTTGCATAACATGCTTAGTGAACGTGCCTAAAATACAGCGAGCTACAGGCGCTGCTCACTTAACGACCGAGTTCACCTCCCATGAGTAGGCCATCAAGAGGTCACTAAATGAGGAATTGCATATAGTATGTACATTACAGTATTCAGAACAAAGAAATGGTCAAAGGAAATGCCAACTTGATGACTTTGCTTTTATTTGCAAAACTCTTACATGGATACTGGAATGTATAATAAAACAAATCTATAGTACTGCACAGAATAATAAGCAAAAATTGCAGACTGTATAAACAAGGTGCATATACAAAAAAATACATTGAGGTTGTATCAACAAGATGTACAGAACTATACAGAAAAGGCAGGGTGTAAGTCTAAGCAGTGGGTTGTAAGTTGAACAGGTGTTTTAAAAAAGTAGGTTGTTAAACAAGAAATATCTGTACACAGATTTGCGCCATTTCTATGCAGCAGGGAGCTACCATTTCCATTGGAGAAGTGAGAAAACTGAGTGGCAGTGGCTGAACGGTCTGGTCAGCCACATCATTTGTGAGGCCCAGCAAGCCTGTAATCTCCACTAGGCTGAGACAAGAGGATCGGAAGTTCAGGCCCACCCTGGGAAATTCAGTGATTTAGTGAGAGCCTGCCACAAAATAAAAGTAAATAAATAAAAGGGGTTGGGACGTAGCTTAGTGTAAAGGTCCTGGTTCAATCCTCAGTGTCCCTTTAAAAAAGAAAAAAGAGGGGTCTGGGGATATAGCTCAGTGGCATAAGCGCCTGCCTGGCAAGTGCAAGGTCGTGAGTTCAATCCCCAGTACCGCAACAAAAAAAAAAGAAAAAAGAAAAAAAACAGAACTCCAGTTGGCCCCTGTAATCCCACCTACTCAGGAGGTTGAGGCCTCAGGAGCATGAGTTCAAGGCCAGCCTGGGCAACTTAGTGAGACCCTGGCTGAAAAATAAAAGCGGTACTGGGAACATAGTTCAGTGCTTCCAGAGTTCAACCCTCGGTACTGCTGCACACACACAAAAGGCTCATTTTCAAAAAGGAGATAAAAAGTGCCATTAAAGAGAATACATTTTCCTTTAAAAAGATCTTATTTGAAAAAAAAAAAAAACACCAGATAATACTAATACATAAATAGCAATATAAACAAAACTTTAAAATATTTTGATGCCATATTTTATATAACATAATCTTTACTGATATGCAATACCTTTCTTATTCATAAGACTTTTGACTTTCAGAAAGGTCATTTATTAGGTCACCAAAATGTATGCTTTTAGGCCTGTCAGGCACAGTCAGTATAACTGAAAGCAATTACAGGTGCTCTTGATAAACACAAAAACGGCATGTTGCAGTGGTCAGGGGGTGGTGGTACACGCCTGTAATCCCAGCACTCGGGAGGCTGAGGCAGGAGGATTGTCACAAGTTCAAGACCAGCCTGAGCTACAAAGTGAGCTCAAGGCCAGCCTGAACTGCACAGTGAGATCCTGCCTCAAAAAGACAGAAAAAAAAAAAAAAGGCATGTAATATGGGATGATTTTTAATTTTGAGAAGGATCTTTTTGCTGATGTAGCTGTTGGTGAAGCTAAGAGTATTTTTTCATATTTCTAATTACCCAAAATTCTTGGTTGTGATAAAATAAGCATAATTACCATTTTAACTGGTTTTGAGCACTGAATGCAGTGGCTTAAGCACATTCATATGTGGGTGTGCAGCCATCACTACTGTCCGTCTCCTAAACTGAAACAGGGGACTCATGAAATAATAATTCCGCATCTCTGTCTTCCGCAGCCTCTGGTGCTGCCTTACTTCCTGTCCCTATGCATCTGCCCATTCTAGTTTCTTCATAGAAATGGCGTCATGCCACTTGTGTCCTTCCCTGCCTGGCTTAGTTTGCTTAGCATCATGTTTTCCAGTTCATCCACGTTACGTTTATCAGTACTTCGTTACTGTGGATAAGGTCTGGGTGTGCAGATTTCTGTTTGAGGGCCTGCTTCCCAGTTCCTCGGAATGGGCCTCGCAGGGGCAGATGGTAATTCTGTGTGTAACTTTTACTATACATTCTGCAGCTTTCCTCAGTGGCGGCTCCTTTTACATTCCTACCAGCAATGTGTAAGCTCTGATTTCTCCATCTTTATCTACACTTAAGTGCTTTTGATTGATTCGGCAACAACAGCCATCCTAATGTGTGAGGTGGTAGCTCATGTTTTTGATGTGCAGCTCCCAAAAATTAATGATTCAGAGCATTTTCATATGTTTATTGACCATTTGTGTGACTTGGGAGATAAACATCTACCCGAGTCCTTTGCCCTGCTCCCTTTTTGGGGCGGCAGGGATGGAGCCCAAGGCCTCACAGGTGCTAGACATGCACCCTGACATTGAGCTACAGCCCCAGCCCTACTTTTGCTTTCTTTTTTCCTTTTTTTTTTTTTTTTTCTTGTCTTTTTCCAACAGAGTTTCACTACGCAGTTCAGGCTGGCCTTGAACTCACAGCAATCCTCCTGCCTCAGCCTCCCACAGTGCTGAGATTATAGGCATGGACCAACCCACCCAGCTACTTCTGCATTTTTAAATTGGGTTGTCGTCTGTTGTTTACTTTTAGGACTTCTTTACCTAGGCTTAGGGTTGCCTCTGTACTCTTGGTTGTGTTTGATATCCA